GTAACGATTTAGTTGCCAGATTTTGATATTTTTCCCTTACTAAAGTGTGAATCTTTTGCGTCTATGACAGCAGCTCCTGATAATCTATGTTCAACATGTTTGCTGAATGTTCACTCTTCTTCATCAGTGGAAATGAGGAAAACCCTTAAACGCTATTCTAAATGACACTTGATCCCATCACAGATTTTCAGTTGCTTTGGCATACCACCTACCAAATAAGATGCGTGTATGTGTACAATGCTCTGACATACCAGCAGCTAAAATAATGTATGACTTTTCTTTCATGCTTTGGCTGATCCAGGAACAGTATATCTTCATACATGATGCCTTGACAGAAGCCATTTTGGGGAAAGAAACGGAAGTCTCAGCCAGCCAGCTTCACAGCTACTTCAACAACATCACATCAGGACACAGTAGGACGACACGTCTGGAGAAACAGTTCAAGGTAAAGGGACATTATACCCTGTCATATAAAGCAACCCATCAGTTCACTAGCAGCATAACTGGCCACAAGTGAATTTCTTGGCACAAAGGTCCAAAATTGGGTAAAAATTAGTCTTTTGTTTATAACATTGTGACACATACAGGGCAACAAAGTCTATTAAAGTCAAGAAGTAACATTAAATTATTGTGAATTAAATAGTTTATAATCATTTCATTTTAAAATTCAAGATCAGGCAAAGGTTTTTTGCTTCGTAATGAAAAATATCTGCACAAAATCCAATCAGTAGGCTTCTCTTCAAATCAGTAACTAGTAAATGAATGTATTGATAATGATTATTTATATTTATGGACCATTCAGTCTTGAATTATATATTTTTTTCATATCTTGCCACATTTTCGTATTGTCCTGCACTAGCTTGTGCTGGGTATAATATGACAATAGTTGCTTTTAAAGTCTTGGCAACATAAAGGTCATTCATTGCATATGCTGTAATGTCCAAGCTCTGGACTTGATGGAGTGTGTTCGCAAAACAATACCTGTCTTTGTTATGGAAACATTTAATGCCTTTGGATTACAATTTGTTTGATGCTGTATTTAGTCATTGTTGTGGTGCTTTTGTTTTTCCTTGTAGTTGCTTCACAATTTCTTTGAGCCAGTTTGGTTTGGTGTGTTTTTCGGTTCTTAGCTGGAGATTTTCTGTTGTGAACTGATGTCTGTGGTATTATCAGGTTTTGTTAGTGAACTCTACTGACATTGCTGAAGTCTTTCAAAGAACTGAGAGATACCGTTCTGCATGAAAGGGTAAATAAGACACAACACACATTTCAATTCATTCTCAAAAACAGCAGTACAGGAATAGCATTTTTGTTGAGAAAAGTACATTGTATTGTACATTTAATCATAAAATTCAACATATATACAGTTCAAAAGATACATACATGCTGGCCCACAATAAAAGCTGCAAAGTAGATTTTGTGCGACAGCTGTGTGATGTGAAGACGTGTAAGCCTATACATTGTGACCTGCCGCCTGATCTTCACTTTATGCTCTCTTTGCGATAATCTCTGAATTTAGCAATTTTGCCAACACTGTTGTTCAATATTGCAAATGTGTGCAACTCTCTCTTCGGAGACACACATGGATCCTGCTGCTGTCTACTGCTACAGGTATTAAACATCAGAGGGAATAGTTCAAAAAGTTGGAAGAAACAAACTTTTCCCTTTCTTAACATTTTGTGGGGGCAAAAAATCTCAGATTATAGTTGTTATTGGTGAGGGTTATTAATCTTTAAACTGTTTGTGTCTGTTTTCATCACTGTAAGGTTTTATTATTGTAATGTGTGGGTTTGATGTGTGGTGCTTGGATCACTTTTCTGAAGACAAACAGCATGATGACAGATAACTTTAGCACCGAGCTTCGACTATATAGTTTCTGAAAAACAAGGCAACTTCCTCATTCTGATTCTCTGGTCAGTTCAGTTTAGTTCAGGTCAGTGGGCGGCTGTGGCGCAGGTGGTAGTGCTGGTCAGTCAATGATCAGAAGGTTGGTGGTTCGATCCCGCCCTGTAATCTGTGTCATGGTCTTTGTGTCCTTGGGCAAGACACTTCACCCACCTTGCCTGGTGTGAATGTGTATGAATAGATTGTTTGAGGTGGTGGTTGGAGGGGGCCTATTTTGGAAGGTATATATTACCTCTCCCTGCTGTTCTTTGTGCTAACATGGGCCAAACATGTCCTAGACTTGTTAAATTCTATTACCCTAAGACAGAATTTTATTAGGTGTTGTCCAGCCGTAGGTTAGTTTATAGATAGCCTTCATAGAGAAGGCTGTTTTGGTTTACGCTGAGTTCGTGTTAAGGTAGAGCGCAACAAAAATTAGTAGAGAGGGACAATTTGTAGCAAAACTATATCAAGCTCACTATGGGACAAACTAATAGTGACCTTCTCTGCTGGTTCTGTAAAAGATCTGGAAAAAGGCTGTTTTTGGAAAATGAAACTGTTTCCTATGTGCAATGAGTTGATCTTTCATTTGAAAGTTTGACAGACACACCAAAGTTTGACATTCCATTTCCTTTTCTTTTGTGTTTCAGTTGGTAACTCATTGCAATGCCAGATTTACCGAATGCTTCAATGCTCACAAGGAGTGCAACAAAGAGAAAAATCGAAATTCCTCCTTGGTGCCATGTAAGTGTTATATTGGTGTGAAAACGTATTACATTTGAAATGTCACTGCCACTAGCAGCATGAAGTGTGTAGTGGAAAACAACCTCCAGTTGCAATTAAAAAATATTTATAATATTCAATAATTACAGTAGCTTATCTGTTATTTTTACTGCATTGTAGAAGAGTCACACATACAAAATGAGGGCGAATACTTCCATAATGTTTTAATCTGGGGCTGCAAGGTGGCGCAGTTGGTAGCACTGTTGCCTCGCAGCAAGAAGGTTGCCGGTTCGCGTCCCGGTGGGGGCACCGTAATGTTTCTGCGTGGAGTTTGCATGTTCTCCCCGTGCAGCGTGGGTTCTCTCTGGGTTCTCTGGCTTCCTCCCACACAGTCCAAAAACATGTTGAGGTTAATTGGTGATTCTAAATTGTCCGTAGGTGTGAATGTGAGTGTGCTTGGTTGTCTGTCTCTAAGTGTGGCCCTGCGATGGACTGGCGACCTGTCCAGGGTGTCCCCTGCCTTCGCCCTAAGTCAGCTGGGATAGGCTCCAGCACCCCCGCGACCCTAATGAGGATTAAGCGGTGTATAGAAAATGGATGGATGGATGTTTTAATCTGACAGATGAGTTTGAATCACACAAACAAGAGATTCAGGAGAACCAGACTCTCATTACAGAGCATCTAATATTGACTCTGATTTTGCTTGAGAAACACTTGTGTATGTTTTGGCTTGTCTAACTCTCAGATTTGGTATGCTGGGCCTGGTCAATAGTAATACTACACTTTGTAATTTCATGTTTTTGCATTTAAAAACGAGGCCACCATTAATCTATTGCCAGTAACTTTTTAATATCACTGCAACACTTAACATGTATACATGGTAAGTCAAACAACAAAGCTATTCGAACTGAACCAGTAACAACCTTTGTCCTTTTAAATGTTGCATAACCAAAGAGTATTTATGGGTTGAATAAAAGTTATGTTAGTATGATGATTTGCTTTTCTTCCCATTTGGAGCTTTTGGGCAAAACTATTTTTAATTGTATTTTGTAAAGCAAGCGTGTTTCACAAAAATGCAACTGGCAATGTAGCTGTGAATGATCTATTGTGTGTAACATTGTATTATTTGTATTTATCTGCTATTGCGTAATTGTGATATGCCATGGGACAACAGAAGAAAATTTGGTTCATGTAAACTCTGGTACAGTACATACAGTGTTAACTTGTATATGTAATATTGTTCAAATAATGAAGTTAAATTAATGATCCTCAAATTTATTACACTGAACTTCTGAGATTGCTTGTTCATAGCTGTGTCACTATGAATTTGGTTTGTGTGTGTGTATGGAAAAAATTATTAGACCACCCTTGTTTTCTTCAATTTCTTGTTCATTTTAATGCCCAGTACCACTAAAGGTACATTACCTGAAGAATACAATGAACATGGAAAAAAAATGCAGCTGATTACATGATACTTTATGTCCTATTTGACATGCTTAGGCTTGATTATATTCCCAGGGTATATAAGAGGCCATGTCATGTCACTACACATGCAAAGGCCTAGAGTGGCTTCCTGCTTGCATTCAAGCCGTAGCACAACTCAGAAGTTGTCAGCTGTCACATAATGCCTAAAACAAAAGAATTACAAGAAGCCACAAAGGCAGCCATCTTGGCACTGCTGGAAATTAGCATGAGTGACAGACAGGCAAAAAAAGAAAAAACTGAAGATCTCCAAGACAGCTGTTCATTACACCAAGAGAAAACAAGCCAACCATGTTACTGCCAAATTGCTAGCTGGTCACAGCAGGAAATGTCTGTCTACCCCAAGAGATGACCGTGCACTCATTCATTCCTGTGTCACACCTCCAGGGACTTTAGAAATGACTGTCAAGAAATGTGACTTGTTAGGCAAGGACAGTTCAAAATTCAGTTCTTGAAGTTGGTCTGAAGTCACATGGGGCACGAAAGAAGCCCTTCATCAACGAAAAGCAGACAAGGATTGGACTGTTGATGATTGGGCTAAGGTTCTCTTCAGTGATGAATCCAGGCTTCAGTTGATGATGACTCCAGAGAATTTACTGGTTAGGAGGACGCCTGGAGAAGCATACAAACCAGACTGTCTTGCCCCTACAGTAAAACATGGGGGTGGATCAGTGACGATCTGGGGATGTTTCAGTATGGGTGGAACAGGGCAAATGCAATTGTGTGAAGAGCGAATGAACCAGGTCATGTACAGGGCTACTCTTGAAAACAGTCTTCTTTCTTTGAATTTGTGCAACAGGAATTGGCTGCTGTGACAGCAGACCAATGTCAGAAGCTGATGGAGAGCATGCCGAGACGCATGGCTGCAGTCATCAAAAACAATGGTTATCCAACCAAGTACTAACTCCCGTGTGTATCATGTGACTAAAACAGACAGAAAAGAAAACATGGAATGCCCAAAAGTACAATGCCAGAGCTATTGATGTAAGAACTTAAGTGATGTTGGCTATTATTAAGAAAACCATGAAAATTGGCTAGATACCAGCTCTTAAATTAGACTCTCATGAGCTATTTTTGTTGTGATCATTATATTTGTCCAAATAAATGTACCTTTAGTCGTACCAGACATAAAAATGAACAAGAAATTGAAGAAAACAAGGGTGGTCTAATAATTTTTTCCATGACTGTTTATACACACATAGTTGAAACCAGAAGTTTACATACACTGTAAACAAAGACATATAACCTTTTTATTTCACTGTCTGACATTAAATTAGACTACACTTATCCTGTTTTAGGTCAGTTAGGATTACCAGAATTATTTCTATTTGCTTAATGCCAGAATAATAAGAGAGAATTGTTTAGATAATTTTTTACTACTTTCAAGTCAAAACTTTACATACACTAACATTACTATGCCTTCCAACTATTTGAGAAAGCCCATATGATGATGTCATGGCTTTGGAAGCTTTTGATAGGTTATTGACAACATTGAAGCTAACTGGAGGCTCACCTATGGATGTATTTTAAGACACACCTCAAACACACTGCTTCCTTTTGTGACAAGATGGGAAAATCTAAAAAATACAGCCAAGATATCAAGAAGAGAACTATGGACCTCCACAAGTCTGGTTCATTCTTGGGTACAATTTCTAGATGCCTGAAGGTTCCACGTCCATCACGTTCAATCTGTTGTATACAATACAGAGTAGTCTATTCTGTTTTATTGTAGATTGGTCTGTCAGTGTGATTGTCTGTTCAAATAAACCAAAATGCCTGTCCTCCCCACCCCTACCCTTTCTTTGTCTTTCGGTAAGCAGCAGAGCGAGCGAGGGTCGGCCTAGCACCTTTGCCTGGGATCAAAGGCACTGATTATATTAATGCCTCTTACATCATGGTCAGTACTTCCACTTCTTTGGTCAATAATCTTTCCTCTCTCTGCTTGACATTTTGATTCAGAGCAGGTTACATCAAGTCAAAATACACTCAGTCCATATCACGTGGTGATCTTGATAATGGTACACTGATGTTTCAGTCCTCAGATTTAGAACCACTTCAGAGTTAAAATACTCATCATAGTTAATACACATACAATTTTGTTTTAAGATTTTCTGTTAAAAAACAACAACAAAACAACAACAATAATAGCAATAATAAGAATAACAGGGACTGTGCCTTTATCAGGCTACGTAGACAGATATTTTTTGCTTACATTAAGTTGATGGATAAAAAAACTCAAAAGTTGCCAAAATCAAAGCGACACAGGCAGCAATATTGTGAACTATAGTACAGATCAAGTTTTAAAAAACAAAAAAAAACGTGTTTTTACACTTAATATGATGCAACCCAGTAGTCTCTGCCAGATAATGCTCTCATTTTTAAGACATCTCCCTGGAGATCTCAATGGGTCCAAAATTGTTCATCCAAAACTGAAAAGGTGTAAAGTAGGTCCAATTGCCTGGTCAGCACAGTTTCAAATATATGTGAGGCTTCATAGACCCTTTATAAAATGTAACTGACCCAAACACATCACAACTGACTGCAAGTCCAGTAGACATAATGACATCCAAATCTGAGATCCACAGCAAAGCAAGTCGAGTCTACCCAGAGACAAAAAAGGTTATGCACAACTTGTGTTCTGGATTGTGTCTTGGTTTGCAGTAATATCTACTCCATACTTTAGTTTTTAAACACAAGCTTTAAATGGAAACTTTCAAGTCTTAAACTCAAGCCAAGATAAATTCGTCACTATGGCATCTTCTTGCAGTGGAAGAAACACTGCCCCAACCCACAGCTGTTTCCACAGCCTGCTCTCTGTACCTTGTAAAAATGGGGTAGTGCCCTTTAAAGTTAGGAGTAACCATAAATGCAAATGTTTGCAAAGTTTTTGAAAAACAGGTAGTTTAATTTTTATGTGCTGTTTGCTAGTAATTTACTTTGATCCTGTGGAGAGTGAATTGTTCACTCAGGTCCCTCTGACTATTTTTTTAATGTATTTTTTTTGCAGGGTTATTACCGATGTAATGAGTTCATCATTACTCAGCATCCTCTGCCCCACACCACAAAAGACTTCTGGAGAATGATCTGGGACCATAATGCACAAATTATTGTGATGCTGCCTGCCAACCATGGACTGGTAGGAAACACCCACATACACACCCATATACTGTGTGTGAGCATGTGCACACCTGTACCTCATTGGCACATGTGTGATTCATAATACCTGAAACACGGGGCAAATTTCTGTTGCATCATTGTGGTTTGTGCATCAGACACCCACACATGTAAGCATGTCATGTGGAATTGAGTTGCCAGAAGCATACTGCAAATGTCCCATGTTATAAGAATTTATGCACACAGTTAAAATTCAGGTAATATCTTCATGAACAGTGTTGCCTATTGCACCTAAAAAGGGACTAGGAGTCAAACTAATATGATCAGATCTGACAAACCACAGAACCACCTAAATTTAGAACTGTAGTAAAACAATATGCACTTTTACAGGCAGCTTTTGTTTTATACAAGCAACTGCCAATCATACGAGGACAGTGTGTTAGACTCCAGAGGGATTACTTCGAAGGGGAAACCTCATAGTTTGTAGTTTGGGTTTGAAATATATCTTTTGTGACACCAGTTTTGGAACTTTTCTGACACACCTCGTACAGTAGGCCAAAAGGTGCACTTTAATTAGATGGGACATTATTTCACTGGATCGCCTTTAACAAGCTTGTAACTGAGAACTTAGCTCAAATTTGAGTTTGAAAATTTTCAGTGCATTCTATAAATATCAAACAAGGTATTGTCTTGAATTATACATCGGGGGATTGCATTTTTTCAGGAAAAGTAAACCATCCTGGCACTGCAGATTCACATATGTATAACTTCTATGCTTCAGATGTGTGAAGCAGGACACAAGAAATTTACCAGGGTCTGCAAAACAGTTATTAAAGATAACTGTATTATTTTCATGTAATTGTTGGGATTAAGGTGCTGTTGTTTACAAAAGGTGGTAATCACATCACAATGTTCCGTTAAACCACATAAAGAATATCTTGAATGCTGTAAAAATATTATATCCTGAGACGCCTCACACAGCAGTAAAACTGTGTGTGTTCTTCTGTAGGCAGAAGATGAGTTTGTGTACTGGCCCAGTCAGGAGGAGGCCATGAACTGCGAGGCGTTCACTGTCACCCTTATCAGTAAAGACCAACTCTGTCTGTCCAGTGAAGAGCAGATCAGCATCCATGACTTCATCCTGGAAGCTACACAGGTTGATGTGTGTCTGTGTGTGATTGATTCTAAGTGAGAGAATGGAAACTCATGAACAACGACAAATTAAGTTCACTTTACCTTTGATTATAGTCTGACTGACATATGACTGAAATGTAATTCTGGGTGCAGTGACGGAAGTGGCAAACAGAGAACCATTTGAAGGGTAGCTACAGGAGGAATAACAGACTTAATATTCTCTCAGTTCACTCGCCATTAACACTGTGACAATTCCAGCTGAGCGTTAACTCGATTTGAAAGTAAAATGGGAGAGATTAATTCATCCAGTATGAGATTTAAAAAGTGAGTCAGAAAAGAGTGTTGAGTGTAATCCATGTATTTAGCCTCCAGATAAACCATGTTTTTGACTGAAAATAGAGCAGGCCCTACTCACATTCCTCCAAGTTACCTGAATATGAGCAATGTGAGCAAAAACAAAGCAGTGACATCTCATCACTCAAGTTAAGCCAACCTGAGAACTCTTTTTTTTCCCCTTAAAAAGCATTTGAAGGCATTTTGCCTTTATCTGGATAGTGCAATAGACAGATAATGAATGTGAGGTAAGAGAGCAGGACAGTGACATGTAAAGATCCAGCTGGCCAAGAGTTGCTCTAGAGGCTCATGCTAAGGGCATTTTAGATCGAGTGTCTGAACCATTTGGCTGATCGGTCACCTAGTTTGTTACCTTCTTTAAACCTAGAGAACACCCCTAAACACACTGGTATAGACAACAGCAAGCTTAAGATCCTCATTTGATTTAAAAAAAACAAAAACAAAACTGTTTTGATTGTGTGTTTTTTTACATTTCTTTAAAAAGACTAATTATTTATTCTATTATTTTATTCTATTTTATTTATCTTTCATATTTTTTTAAGTTCATCGTATCCATTATATGGATCTTCAGTGTGTGTGTGTGTGTGTAGCCCTAGTGCATTACATTTCTCAGCTTTTCCTATTTATAGCTTATTCTCTTTTCTTCCTGTCACTTTTTTGTGCTCTTTATCTTTTGTGCTCTGTATCCATACTGCTGCAACAAGTGAGTTACCCCATTTGTGGTAAAAAATAATGTGCAATCTAATCTAATCTAATCTAATCTATTTAACTTCTACATAGAAACAGGGTAACCAGTAGTCATCAAAATAAGAATTTCCATAATTCTACCCCCTCACGCCTCACTGCTTCTGTTGTGAGCCCTTCATAAAGCAGCTCCTTCACAGTCCACCATGGTCTTCATACTCTCCCAGCATCTGACAAACTAAAGATCCAGCAGATTGCTTTCATTTTTTAGTGTCCCAACAGCAATAGGTAAATCCTTAGTGTTAACACATTGTGCAGTTATTGTGATTTACGTTACCGTTGATTGTAGCCTGCAGGTCAGAGCTCTGTGAAAATTATAATTCTGAGAGGCAATCAAAAATGGTTGAAACGTCAAAGGCAATTTGAAACCAATAAACAAGGACTGGGTGAGTTACTGTGTCTTCATGTCATTGTATGTACTTTGATGCAGCATAAACTTAGCCAGTGTCAGCCCTTTCCATTTGTTTTCTTCTCTCTTGCTTTGTGCTCACATAAACTGCATTTTAATACAGCTCTAAACTCAACCCAAAAAGCTGTTTTCAATTACATATTTTTTTTGTTTCTGTTGTCAGACAATGGAAGGAGTACGGGGTAGTGACTGAAATGCAACCCTTTTACAGACAGCGCTAGCCAGCGGCCACTTTATAGCAGTTTTTTTTTTTTAAGCTGCTGCTCTGCACAACTAAACTACAGATTTTGGAACTGCAATGCCATGGGACAAACTCACCATATACATCAAAGACAACAGCTGTGCTGTGAATTAGATTGTATTTCTCATGTAAAGTGGTCACTCAGAGAGAAAAATAGATGCCAGAGAAGGTCCTGGTCTCACACTCATTCACATTTATGCTGCCTTTTATTCAACTGTGCTGCAGTTCTCTGTTGGTCATTTAATGAAGCAGATGCAGAGAGAGTCTCCATACTGAAGTAAGTGTAGACAGTCGTAGCTCAGCTGCAATTAAAACTACAGACACTGAAACTGTATATTTAGAACAAGGTTAAAACCAGGTGTTATGCAGTCAAGGTACAATTATCTATCTTTGTACTATTCTGAGCAACAAAACCATAACGCATTCTAAGAACATGTAAGAGTTTCGTCATTTGCTGCATATGGGATCCTGAAACATCTTCATCATCACTACACACACTGAATTTTATAAATGTTGTTTCAGCCCTTTTAGAACCACCATAGTTCGAAATCTTGTTGTTATACCCCACAAGTCATATCAAAGTCCAAACCAAAAATGTTTGATGGAATTCTAATATCATCTCTCTCTCTCTCTGCCTGCCTTACTCTCTGCCTGCAACTAGGATGACTATGTACTTGAGGTTCGTCACTTTCAGTGTCCCAAGTGGCCGAACCCCCATGCCCCCATCGGCAGCACTTTTGAGCTCATCAACATCATTAAAAAGGAGGCGGCCACACGAGATGGACCAACCATCGTCCATGATGAGTCAGTCTGATTCTTTTACTCTTTTAAAACATAATAACATTTTATTGGGTAAACTACACATTATGAATGAAATTGCACTTGTTTGAATTTTAGTAATTTAGTGAATTTTAGTATTTCATATTGAATACTGATTAATGAAATTAATAAATATTCATAATCAGTGTTTGCTTGGTGAAGGTCTAGTACTATTGCATTATTAAATTTATGATTGCAAGTTCGACAGTGTGCCGGAGTCTGCTTTCATACCTGTTGGATGTGTCCATTCCTCTTCGACACACTTGCCTCATGTAATAGCTGTGTGAAGAGTTTCCCTTGATTTATATGGAATATTAATAAATGATAAAATCTATTTGTATTGGTTAGTCTCATAATCAGAAGTTATGAACTCTGATTTCATTCACCTCCAATTCACAAACAATGAAATACACACTACAACTGGCAATAATTATACACAAAATATGTATTAACCATTAATGTAGGAAACCCAATGGTTTACAAAAAAAATAAAAATTTAAATCCTTAATGAAAGAGCAAAAAGTCCAAAATTTTAACAGTGGAAAAGTCCCCCAAAAACTGTGAAAAGGCCTCAATTTAGGTAAAACAAAGAAAAAACTCAAGTTCCATTCAGATTCACATTCAAATTTGTTTATTTGTCACATGCAGGTTAACACAATGAAATGTTTTGGACAAGAAGAACCAATTAACTTACTATTTGCAATAATAAAAAAACAAAAAACACTAACAAAAAAGCAAAAAGCACTAAGCAAAAAAAAAAAAAAAACTAAGAAAGATATCCATTCAAATTAGCATCTAACCAATCATGGATGTGTTTATTCCAAGGGGTGGTCTTGAGCTTCACTATCTGTGAGAGGTCAGAGACCAAACACCTTGAGAACTTACTTTGAGTTCATTTCTTAAAAATACATATAGTAGTATCCAGTAAACATGTACAATGATGACAGATCTGAAATCTCACTGAAGAGTTGATACCAAACAAGATATGTTTATGTCATATGTTTCAAGAGATCAGAATATGCAGAATAAAAGGTGTAAACATTTATACAAATTGTGGAATTTTAATGATACATGATAGTAAACTTTCTAATATAACTAAGACCACAAGCGTATGCATTCGACAATAGGACAAATGAGACTTCAGGATTGTATATGCTTAGGCTAAAAGTCTCTATGTTCTTTGGCGGTGACAGAGAGAAGAGTGTCTCACTTGTGTGCATTTTCAGGTGTTCTTCTTCAGTGGTCCTGATGACCTGGATTATAGAGTCTAGATTTTTGAAGACAACACTCTAGTGATGTTAGAGTTCCTTAATTTCACTTTTTGAAATCAATTAGTTCACTCTTCTACAGCAGGGGTGCCCAATCCTGGTCCCCGAGAGCCCCTATCCAGTTTGTTTTAGATGTGTCCCTCTTCCAACACACCTGATTCACATGATCAGGATTGTTATCAGGCTTCTGCAGAGCTTGATGAATGGCTGATCATTTGAATCAGGTATGTTGGAAGAGGGAAACATCTAAAACATACTGGATAGGGGCTCTCGAGGACCAGGATTGCCCACCCCTGTTCTACAGAAAGGTCTGGATGGTAGGAGGAGAAGAAAGTCAGGAGGTCAAAGTGAAGAATGCTGCTTCTTTTCTCCAGAGAAGTGGCTATCCTCAGAATTGACTGTCTTTCACCACTATTTGTTCTTTTGGGAGGTGGGAGACATCCTGTTGACTCCAAGAGGGCCGTAAATGGTCATTCTGTAGAAAACATCTGATATGGAGATGTTCCATTTGGATTGAGGTTTTGGGTTAGCTGTCTTCTCACATGGTCTCCCACCAAATTTTCAGCTGTAAGAAAGGGTCTCTGGATTTTATGTGTGCTGTTTTGAAATGCAGCCAGCAATAAATTGTTGTGCTGCTCCTGAGTACACTACAGTCCCTCTCTTTGTTTGGCGACTGCAATCATTGGTTGCTGTTGGCAAACAGTGGAGAAGTTAATGCAGAACAAAGATGCCCACAGACTAAGCACAACACTTTCAGTCAGCCCGCACGATGGTATAACCAGTATAGAAAATAGGATGAGAGAAGATATGAGACTATGTAGGTCATATGGGCTTAGTGTGGACTCTAAACTTGATTATTCAAACTTTAGGGAGACAAGTTTGGTATTCACTTGCTTTTTGACTTGGCTAGTAGACAATGTATTGCTAAGGAGTTTAGCGCTATGTACCTGTTCACCTTGTCTACTTAGTGTGACAAGATAAATGCCAGATCACTGGCAAGCAAGACTTTGACTTCTTCAGTTCCTGTAAGTTGTAATGTTTTGTACAGTACATGATGGAAACTTGGCTTCAAGCTGGCAAATTTACAACTTTTTTAAAACTTCTTCCCCAGAATGCATTTCCTTAGCTCCCCTTGGACCACTGATGCGTGGAGGGCTGCTGTTAATATTTAAATCCAGCTTTCACTGTTGACAGATTTCATTCGACTCATACTCCAGCTTTGAATTACAGTTCCATCCATCCGTCTTTTGTTTTTTGTCTTTAAACAGAGAATTAAACTCTGGCAACTTCAGTATCCTGCAAGAAGAGAAGCCACTTGTTTCACTCTAAACTGTCATCTTTATTCCAACAAGTTACAGCCCACTGACATTACTCCACCCCCCATAGATAACCAAAACTTTACTCAATTAAGCATAATCAAAGTGTCTTTAGTATTGACGCACATTAGTGTTTTTGAATGGCAACTGTTCTACTCATATTTATATGTTAGAATAATGAGGATTGCTTGTTACATCCTCAAGAAGAAAAGTGACTAATTGAGCACTTGCTATGACACAGTAAGCTTGCAATGTCTAAGAGACTGTCAGCTAGAAGCGTGTCCTAATTGTCTATGTCCTCATTATTTAGCCAAGCGCAGGTTGTTAGCAGCAGTTTAAGCAGCGCTCTTGACAAAGATGATAATGGAAGGGGAGACCCTTTACATTCTGAATGCAACCTGGTGTTCTCCTAAGAGCTTCACACCAGGCTGACTGCTGCTCTACACTGGATTCACTTGATAATAAATCTTTAATCTCTGTGGGGATATTACTGATATGTAAGGGTCTGCTCACCCTTGCTGAGCTGCTGTCAAGGACGCGTCAAACACTAAGAGCTATGGATTGCAAACAGCGCCTCTGCATCAGGATTTTGAGTGATTTTCCTGCAGATAGTGAGTTTTTATGCATAATATTTCAATTACAAGACACAGAACAAGGAAGAAAAATGCAAACAAACAAAAAATTTGGCAGTTACTAGTGGTATTGAGACATCATAGTCAAAGGCACAAGTGAAGCACAGGCCCTCATAAAGAGAGGGAGCTTATTTCTGCATAGCATTGTTTAAATTTCAGGAAAACTTTTAATTTTTAGACAGTTTATCCTGAAAGATAAACTGTTGCTTGGAGTAGTTTACAGTAGCTATGGTGACTGGTTCCCCTCCTGTTCTAACTTCAAGCCAAAATACTCACTGGGCACAGAAAATATGTCATTTTGATGACCCTAGGATCTTTCCCCTATGGCCACCTTCAAGATGAACATTATAGTATCAACCACATTATTGTTACACATGCAAAATGGCAAATTCAACAGTATGGTAATGAAGCCATGTAGGAGAATCAATTGCTGTAGCATTTTTATAAAAAATATTATTGTGCATAGTCATGCTTACCTCAGACCCTAACTATGTGTTTGGTCTTTGTCAGGTTGGGAGCAGTGTCAGCTGGCATGCTGTGTGCTCTTACCACCCTGTCGCAGCAGCTGGAAAGCGAGGGCACCGTTAATGTCTATCAAGTGGCCAAGATGATCAACCTCATGAGGCCAGGAGTCTTCACAGACATTGTGAGTCTTAAAGCGTCAAATTCAGGAATATCCACTGATGTCAGAGATATAGACAGATGAGCCAAAACATTATGACGACCTGCCTAATATGCTGTTTCACCCTAAGTGTAAGTTGCAGGTTGTGGCTCTCATGGGTCAGATTTGTTCCAGCACATCCTCCATAATCCTTGTGGCTGTGGTTCAAATGACTGACCAGGAGTACCCTAAAAGCCTCATCATTTAGCAATAGCACTCAGGTCTTTACTTCTGCCCCTTTTTAACACATCCAGTACTTTGACTATGAGAACTGACTGTTAGTGCACCATCTCATATATCCCAGACCTTGACAAGTACTGTTGATGCAACATTATCAGTATTATTTTCTGTATGTGAAAGTGGTCATAGTGTTGTATGGCTTGTATGTTTACTCTGTATATTTTTGATCAATCCTTAATTTAGGACTAAATTCTTATAACCTTGTCCACCAGAGTTGCACATCTTGCTTAAAACATGGCTACTGACCAGTAATCAAAATCAAAGAAGAAGGCATCAAATTGAGAGCTAATCTGCCAAGACAGCAATGCCACAGTTTCTTGCTTTCAAGATTTTCTGTCCTGCTGATACCAAATGGTTTATGGTAATGATGGAAGTCTGTGCTCCAGTCTGTTGGGACTGTGATGTATGTGAGTGCACAAGGCAAGCTGCATCCTTATTCAGCAAACCTGTTAGTTCTTTAACTGCAGGATATGGACCAATAAAGAACACAAATGGTGTGCATATATTGCTCACCTGTTCTCCTCTCTGTCTTTCTTTTCTCCTTCATGTCTTTCTCCTAATCTGTCTCTGCCTCACAGAACCAGTACCAGTACCTATACAAATCTCTTCTCAGCCTTGTCAGCACCAAGGAGAATGGTTCCAGTCTTCTGACCAGGGACATTAATGAGACTATGATGTCCATGTCCGACCAGTCCGATCAGTCTGACCAGGCAGAAAGTATGGAGTCACTAGTCTAAAATGAGGCCCGTCTTTGCCTGGAGCTGAGCTGAGGGAGTCTTGTGGGTTCAAGCACCCTGCAAGGTCCCTGATCCCACAAAGTAGGCACTTAACTTTGTAAAACGTCAAGGAACTATTGTGGACAAGACTTTTTGAGGCCTTTTTTTTGCCAGACTCTTGGTTAAAACAAATAACCTGATAACTTTTTTACACTGATAAAAGTTTTTGATATTTATTTTATTTTATTTTTTTGCCATTTTATGTCTTAATGTTCTCCTACTGAAGGGTTTACACCTGTGTTTTTAAGTTTCATGACAGCGGCGACAAGAAACACTTTTCTGTCTTTTCTTGTTTGCACTATATAATGTCAGTGTTACTGCCTTTACTGAAGCTGACTCACTTGGCTTTTCTTCACTAAAGCTCACATTTCTTTGACATTCCATGGCTTTGACTTTTGTTAAACCAGTTGCTTCTGTAAGGGACATCCTCCTGCCTGCCACCTTCCAGTGCATTTAAGACAGCGGACAGAGGAAGTCACAAACTCCCCGCCTCAGTAACAAAATGCTGTCCATCTTCAGCTCAGTGTGACCTCCTCTTCCCTTTTGGTCTGTAGTACTCATATTGCCACTCATTTATCACAACAACCAAGATCTCGGAACCTATTGTCACAGACAAGCAGTGTTTGTTGTTGAATTTATTTCCACATCACTCATTTTTTGTTTGTTTGTTTGCTTGTTTTATTGTTACTCTCCCTTTTATTGAGTGGCTCCTAGTGAGTCACAACCATGTTAGAATACTTAAGGTGGTGTAACAACTGCTACTGTGAACTTTTATGATTATTTCTTTGTATAATTCATATTATGCTTTTTAATATATGGGAATACTGTATGTAAACATATATAAATATATCCTTATCATAATAACTTTGTAATTTTTGTACATGTCCTTTGTGGCCTGCCGCCTCAGGCCAGTTGACCTCCACCGTGGCCAATAGTTTATCATTCCAATACTCACAGCTAATTCACAGCCATCTGAAAACACAATCCTTCAGTTCTCTGCGTTCTTGTATGCTGCTATGTCATATGACCTCACATAGACAAGTACACACATACAGATGCCATCAATAGAGATTTAACCCTTAAAGCATTTGACATACTACAACAGATGTGGCAACCACATGCCATTCACGTTTTTGTTTTGTTTTTTTTCAAATCACTTTTTAAATAAGTTTGTTTTGCTTTTTTTTTTTCTTCATTCAGTTACATATTTATTCTGACAGACAAGCATGGATTAGGAACACAGAGGCCTGTACAGCTGATGGAACCCTCATTTAGTCACATGCGTCTGTATTTTTTCTTAAAATGATCATTTAGTATGACGTGCCAGGGAACAGCAGGCTCAAATACCAGTTCTATGCAACAAGATGGCTACATTTTTGAAATACAAAACAGGGTGTAAAACAGTCTGCAGGGCTTTCAGTTTTAGTCGAGTGTTTTTGTTTTGTTTTGTTTTGTTTTTCATTTTATTTATTGTGTTTTTACTACTGTAAAAACAAACAAAAATATCTAAATTTTCAAATAGCCCTTGTCATCTACTTGAGGTTTGTAGGAGTCTAATGTAATGTAATACATCTTTCAATTTGGTGTGAATGAATATAGAATTACGACAAAACATCCTCATATGCTTTCTCTGAAGTTGCTGATTGTAAATCTGAAGTTTATTTTGTAGGTTCTCATAGAACCAGAGTGATGTCATGTAACTACTATCATTGTCATCATTCCTGTCATTGTTTAGGCCTGGAGTCTATCAGAGCCAACTCAGGGTGAAGGCAGGGGACACCTGGACAGGTCGCCAGTCTATCACAGGGCTACACACAGAGACAACCAAGCACACTCACATTCACACCTACGGACAATTTAGAATCATCAATTAACCTCAACATGTTTTTGGACCTTGTGGGAGGAAGCCGGAGAACCCACGATGCACGGGGAGAACATGCAAACTCCACGCAGAAAAATCTCGGGTGTCTGCACTGGGACGCGAACCGGCGACCTTCTTGCTGCAAGGCAATGGGGCTAACCTTGCAGCCCTAGTATCTACGTTTGTTAGGGAAAATACAACAAAAGTTAAATCTTAAATTTTACTGTTGAATTTACTGTATTTAGTTCATAATTTATATACCTCAGATGCTTCAAATACAGGGGGCAGCATGTAAAAGGATTTTAGATTGTATTAAGGTCTGTGACAGTTCACCTGTAAAGAAGGCATAAAACAATTTGTGAGGTAGTTCAACTAGGAGTCTTCAATCTTTTGTTAGTGTCACTTTTCTGGACAACTGGATAAGCATTGCTCCAGGGCAAGGATGTGCACAGGGCCAAGCAACAGTTGCTCGAGCCACTTTCCATTTCCCTCTTTAGTTGAGCTGCCCCTCTGGAGGAAAATAACAGTAATATTGTGTTATTTTTGCTATTGTGATTGCATAAATGCAAGTATCACAGAATTGCTAAAGTCAGACCAAAAATGCACCCCCTCATGTGACACTGTACCATCCAAACTCGGTATTGGCACAGTGTGGGGGCTCCAGGTGAGTATTCTGTGGAATGGTAAATTATGGATGACATAATCATTGACACATTCTGTGTGGGCTTTCCTACAGACAATCTGTGTGGGCCCCAGTGTGGACTATCTGTATCTGTATGTGTAACCAGATATGGGCCTACTGCCAGCCTGCCCACATAAGTTGTTCAATTCTTCTCTACCTGTGAGCCCCTATGTAGGTTTTTTCTGGGTGACTCTTATTTGGGCTTGCCCACAGCGACCCAACACAGGCCCACTGCAATGTTGCTATGTATGCTGTGTTCTTGAATATCCTTCATTTAGGTTTTGATTAATTTTCAACCAAGAAGCAGACGTAGCTGGCATACATCGTGTTCTTTTTTTTGTTACGAAATGATAACTTGAGATGTTCAGATTGGTTAAAATGTAAAGCATGGTTTTAAATGTATTTTCAATTTTATGTGATTACAGTAGGTAGGGGCGTCCAAAAGGAGTCAGCAGAGAGATGAAGTGCTAAACAAACACCTTCAATTAATTATAATTACATTTTTCATTGTCTTAATATTATTGTCTCTGAAAATTTCATCAACAGTTACATGATCCAGACATTCCCTGACATCCCTTTATGGAGGTGTATGAGTATATTTAATTACTTGATTTTGGATGATTCAGTGAAGTATTTTTCAAACCTGGTTGCCCTTTTTTCAGGGTAGAGCAACAGCCCCTCAAAATATCTGTGCACATCCTTGCTTTAGACTGCAGCTAAACATAGTAGTGATACTGTTTGTCTAATGTGACGAAACATTTTCCTGGAGCATTAAATGGCATTGTTTAACGAAGCCACCCTAATGTCTCAGGCCAGTTGAATAAGCAGAAAAGATGTAGTGTTTCAAACATTAAAACTGTGTTCTGTGAAACTATTGACTTTTGAAAACGTAAGTATTCTCACAGAAAATTGCCAAGGTGTTTTTGTTTTTTGCTTTCACTGTTTTTTCTTTTCATGTCCTACACAGATAATATGAAAGCAGTCTGAAAATGAATTTGATAAGTACTAGTATCAATTTCCAGCAGTGCCCAACCCTACTCCTTTAAAGATTGCAGTCAGTAGTTTTCCATAGTCTCTAGCACACATTGCTCAGACACATAGATTTGTTGTGGACTTTTTTCTGTGGTGAATTTATACATCTGAGATAAATGAAACTTTTGGATACACAGCATCAGTGCATTCTTCGTTCATTCAACAAGATGTAGCTGTGGCGCACACTACACAGTAACATGTACCCCGGCAAACTGTTGCTCTCCTCATTAAACAAGCCAGTTCCACTTTCCAGACCATTGCACATAAAACGTAGGGCTTTAGTCAGATCTGATTTAAGTGCGAGTAGTACAGACCTAAGAAGCTCATTTCTAGCTCCCATGCTCTTTAACAGTTTATAATGACTGTCATGTTCAACAGCATCTTGGAGAAAACAGAGCAGGTGGAGGCCTGTTCAAGATCCATGATTGCTGACAGAGGTGTGGTCACATGCTCCAACCTTTCAAGGCCATGTGTACATTGTTTCCTTTGTTAACTCACTCTTCTGCAGAGTTTTTTTTAGTGGTTTTGTGGCCTACAAGCAGAGTCTGAAATGTTTTCTGCTTCAGCTGCAGTGACCCCTCATGCACACAGACATATAGATCTATTTCTACATTTGTTTCACACATTGATGTTCCTATTAAAGTGTGATTGAAGTGAAATGATTGACATCGTAAATTGAACTCTTGCGGTTTTGCATTTTTAATGAAAATGTGAGTGTGTTTTTTTTCCCTCCGATACAACAGAAAAACAGATGATGTGATAAATGATAAAACAGTGAGGGGAATATATGTATTTGCATTTTTTTTTTAAACTTCTACCAAAGAGATCCCACATGTGGTTATTAATAATTTAATTGTTTTAGATATGAGCAGGCAGAAGCATTAAATTTGCAAAATCTTTCCTTCCTATTTCCCCTGGCACTGTTACTTTTTTTTTTTTTTTGGCTAAACTCCACAAAACACATTATGATTCTGTTTCTTTCTTTCTTTTTGACCAAGTTTTCACAAGTCACACCCAAAAGACACAAAGCAAAGTTCATTTCCTTAAAAGCCTGTGTCTACTAAGCTACTTTTTTACATGGTTGCTGTCTGTAAAAGCAGGTTGCTTTATTAGCTAGTTGGTAAGGTTAAAACTGATACCAAGGATTACTTGTAAAGTATCATGACTGACCACAGGTGCTCTTTTATCAACCCTGTTTCCTGAAGAGGACCTTTATTGAAAACTAAATTACAGCAAACACCAAATCTGATTATGACCAGAAAAAGTCTTCTGCTAATTCCATTGTTAATTTAAGTATTTGGCAAGTCACAAATATGTGAATACAGAGCATATCAGTAAAATGTATACTGACAGTTTCTTTTTGCCAAAATATCTGCTCTTGCAGTTAAGACTGTCACTAAAGGCTATTTTTCTATTGAATAATGTATTAACTCTTTTACAAATTCGTCCAATAATCTAAACCAGTGTTTCCCCCCCCCAAAAAAATCAAACTGGCCATGTCCCAAAATTGACAAAATACATTCAAAAGCTCTCCCCACTGATGAACTGAGTGGTTTAGCCTTTTCTGGTGAATCATCTTCCAGAGTGTGTTTTCTTTTTAGGTGCTCATGCATTGTGCTGTGCTGTTGTGGTCCGCCATTGAAACTTTTTTGTTTTATGATCATTTCAAGTATTTTTAGTAGTGATGGGACACTATTAAAAAATGTTATCTAATTAAGTAGAGGCTTTGTGATTAATTAATCGTGATTAATTGCATTTTTATCGAATCAAGCACAATAAGCAAAGTTAACAGTTCAAATAAATTTTGGTTGACGACTGAATCAGTGAATAGACATACGTGAACTTAAAAAACAAAAACATTTATTTTTCCATCTGTATTTATCTGTGCATTTTTCATCTGTCTACTACATTCACAGATGAGTGCAAACTCAAAGTGCAGTTATAGCTATTATATTCAACATTTTAAGTCTTAAAACTCCTTGTTTCACAGTTTGCACACAACCATGCTCTTATTCAAGCTGCCTCATTCTACGTGTCCACAGGATCTGTCAAATTCTCACTACCCATTCATTGTGTAGTGAAACAACCCCCATCGTGCTCTGGAGCATCGTGGGGAGCTTCGAGTGACGAGGCGTAGCATCACCCACGCATAAAGTAGGCTTGACTTTAACTTTATGCAAATTTGGCAAATTGTGCCAAAACCGCCCCTGTGGACACGTAGCATTAGGCCTTCATGAGAAAAAACTCAAAGGCCATTTCCGCACAACAGCTATGGGGTCTGGTCTT